TCTCAACCCGAAATTTCGTCATATACCGGTACATAAAAACTATACGGTCACTAAAAATCATGAAATAATTTATTTTTGTAAAAAAATACAACCGACTTCAAACGCTCTAAAAAGAATGAAATAATTTAAATAAAGTTAACTTTTGTATTAGGCAAGCTCACGTATTTCAAGTCGGCGCGGTTCAAACTGCAAATATGATTGAAATTAAATATTGTGTGTGTATTTTGAAAATCAATAAATTGTAGCTGGATAACATAAATATATAAAAAACATACTGAACTGTTTTGTTTATATATTAAAGGAAATATTTTCTTGTATTTTATGTTTACTTCAGAATAAATGCATTATGAAAATAACACACACAAATGTTCTATATGAATAGGAAAATAATTTAGTTTGATATTATGATAGGGAAAAGAAGCTAGTTTAGTATTAAAACGTTACATTTCCAAGTTAGAAACATTTAAATGCGTTATAATCTTTTTAAAGATACTCGTTAATACCACTATAATGCCGATCTCTGATTACGGTAATAAAATAACACTTAACGCATAACTATGAAAAAGACATGCAGATTAACACCTTTAGTTATAGATAGTCACCTGCAATATGGACACCCTCTTTCAATTTTGTATCAAAAATCATCATAGAGCCGCGCCGAATTGAAATACGTGAGCTTGCCTAATACAAAAGTTAACTTTATTTAAATTATTTCATTCTTTTTAGAGCGTTTGAAGTCGGTTGTATTTTTTTACAAAAATAAATTATAATTTGTAGAAACATCTCATTTTGAAATTAACTTTAGAGATGTTTTTGGTACAAACAAAGCCAATATAGTAGTAGGCCTAGGCCTAGTAGTTGTAGTATACATAACTTAAAAAACTAAAAATAACAAAATCTTGTGAATTTTACTTCTTAGTAAATTAAACGTGTACTTGAGGAACTAGCTTCTCTATCACAATCTGTTTGATCAGTCTAAGCCAATTGTCTGTGTCAGGCTCTGCTGGGAGTGTTGGTGTCTGGATGTATGTCACAACTCTCAGGTCAGAGTCATCGTACAGAGGGGCCGTGTGTCCTAGCCCTCAGTACCTCTGCTGCACATCACTGTACCTCAGTCTATGCTAATTGTCTGTGTCAGGCTCTGCTGGGAGTGTTGGTGTCTGGGAGTATGTCACAACTCTCAGGTCAGAGTCATCATACAGAGGAGCTGTGTGTCCTAGCCCTCAGTACCTCTGCTGCACATCACTGTACCTCAGTCTAAGCTAATTGTCTGTGTCAGGCTCTGCTGGGAGTCTTGGTGTCTGGGAGTATGTCACAACTCTCAGGTCAGAGTCATCGTACAGAGGAGCTGTGTGTCCTAGCCCTCAGTACCTCTGCTGCACATCACTGTACCTCAGTCTAAGCTAATTGTCTGTGTCAGGCTCTGCTGGGAGTCTTGGTGTCTGGGAGTATGTCACAACTCTCAGGTCAGAGTCACCGTACAGAGGAGTTGTGTGTCCTAGCCCTCAGTACCTCTGCTGCACATCACTGTACCTCAGTCTAAGCTAATTGTCTGTGTCAGGCTCTGCTGGGAGTCTTGGTGTCTGGGAGTATGTCACAACTCTCAGGTCAGAGTCATCGTACAGAGGAGCTGTGTGTCCTAGCCCTCAGTACCTCTGCTGCACATCACTGTACCTCAGTCTAAGCTAATTGTCTGTGTCAGGCTCTGCTGGGAGTGTTGGTGTCTGGGAGTATGTCACAACTCTCAGGTCAGAGTCATTATACAGAGGAGCTGTGTGTCCTAGCCCTCAGTACCTCTGCTGCACATCACTATACCTCAGTCTAAGCTAATTGTCTGCTGGGAGTGTTGGTGTCTGGGAGTATGTCACAACTCTCAGGTCAGAGTCATCATACAGAGGAGCTGGGTGTCCTAGCCCTCAGTACCTCTGCTGCACATCACTGTACCTCAGTCTAAGCTAATTGTCTGTGTCAGGCTCTGCTGGGAGTGTTGGTGTCTGGGAGTATGTCACAACTCTCAGGTCAGAGTCATCGTACAGAGGGGCCGTGTGTCCTAGCCCTCAGTACCTCTGCTGCACACCACTGTACCTCAGTCTAAGCCAATTGTCTGTGTCAGGCTCTGCTGGGAGTGTTGGTGGCTGGGAGTATGTCACAACTCTCAGATCAGAGTCATCGTACAGAGGAGCTGTGTGTCCTAGCCCTCTTTCAGCCCAAAATCAGAGACACCCTCTTTCAATTTTGTATCAAAAATCATCATAGAGCCGCGCCGAATTGAAATACGTGAGCTTGCCTAATACAAAAGTTAACTTTATTTAAATTATTTCATTCTTTTTAGAGCGTTTGAAGTCGGTTGTATTTTTTTACAAAAATAAATTATAATTTGTAGAAACACCTCATTTTGAAATTAACTTTAGAGATGTTTTTGGTACAAACAAAGCCAATATAGTAGTAGGCCTAGGCCTAGTAGTTGTAGTATACATAACTTAAAAAACTAAAAATAACAAAATCTTGTGAATTTTACTTCTTAGTAAATTAAACGTGTACTTGAGGAACTAGCTTCTCTATCACAATCTGTTTGATCAGTCTAAGCCAATTGTCTGTGTCAGGCTCTGCTGGGAGTGTTGGTGTCTGGATGTATGTCACAACTCTCAGGTCAGAGTCATCGTACAGAGGGGCCGTGTGTCCTAGCCCTCAGTACCTCTGCTGCACATCACTGTACCTCAGTCTATGCTAATTGTCTGTGTCAGGCTCTGCTGGGAGTGTTGGTGTCTGGATGTATGTCACAACTCTCAGGTCAGAGTCATCGTACAGAGGGGCCGTGTGTCCTAGCCCTCAGTACCTCTGCTGCACATCACTGTACCTCAGTCTATGCTAATTGTCTGTGTCAGGCTCTGCTGGGAGTGTTGGTGTCTGGGAGTATGTCACAACTCTCAGGTCAGAGTCATCATACAGAGGAGCTGTGTGTCCTAGCCCTCAGTACCTCTGCTGCACATCACTGTACCTCAGTCTAAGCTAATTGTCTGTGTCAGGCTCTGCTGGGAGTCTTGGTGTCTGGGAGTATGTCACAACTCTCAGGTCAGAGTCATCGTACAGAGGAGCTGTGTGTCCTAGCCCTCAGTACCTCTGCTGCACATCACTGTACCTCAGTCTAAGCTAATTGTCTGTGTCAGGCTCTGCTGGGAGTCTTGGTGTCTGGGAGTATGTCACAACTCTCAGGTCAGAGTCACCGTACAGAGGAGCTGTGTGTCCTAGCCCTCAGTACCTCTGCTGCACATCACTGTACCTCAGTCTAAGCTAATTGTCTGTGTCAGGCTCTGCTGGGAGTCTTGGTGTCTGGGAGTATGTCACAACTCTCAGGTCAGAGTCATCGTACAGAGGAGCTGTGTGTCCTAGCCCTCAGTACCTCTGCTGCACATCACTGTACCTCAGTCTAAGCTAATTGTCTGTGTCAGGCTCTGCTGGGAGTGTTGGTGTCTGGGAGTATGTCACAACTCTCAGGTCAGAGTCATTATACAGAGGAGCTGTGTGTCCTAGCCCTCAGTACCTCTGCTGCACATCACTATACCTCAGTCTAAGCTAATTGTCTGTGTCAGGCTCTGCTGGGAGTGTTGGTGTCTGGGAGTATGTCACAACTCTCAGGTCAGAGTCATCATACAGAGGAGCTGGGTGTCCTAGCCCTCAGTACCTCTGCTGCACATCACTGTACCTCAGTCTAAGCTAATTGTCTGTGTCAGGCTCTGCTGGGAGTGTTGGTGTCTGGGAGTATGTCACAACTCTCAGGTCAGAGTCATCGTACAGAGGGGCCGTGTGTCCTAGCCCTCAGTACCTCTGCTGCACACCACTGTACCTCAGTCTAAGCCAATTGTCTGTGTCAGGCTCTGCTGGGAGTGTTGGTGGCTGGGAGTATGTCACAACTCTCAGATCAGAGTCATCGTACAGAGGAGCTGTGTGTCCTAGCCCTCAGTACCTCTGCTGCACATCACTGTACCTCAGTCTAAGCTAATTGTCCGTGTCAGGCTCTGCTGGGAGTGTTGGTGGCTGGGAGTATGTCACAACTCTCAGGTCAGAGTCATCGTACAGAGGAGCTGTGTGTCCTAGACCTCAGTACCTCTGCTGCACATCACTGTACCTCAGTCTAAGCTAGTTGTCTGTGTCAGGCTCTGCTGGGAGTGTTGGTGTCTGGATGTACGTCACAACTCTCAGATCAGAGTCATCGTACAGAGGAGCTGTGTGTCCTAGCCCTCAGTACCTCTGCTGCACATCACTGTACCTCAGTCTAAGCTAATTGTCCGTGTCAGGCTCTGCTGGGAGTGTTGGTGGCTGGGAGTATGTCACAACTCTCAGGTCAGAGTCATCGTACAGAGGAGCTGTGTGTCCTAGCCCTCAGTACCTCTCCTACACATCACTGTACCTCAGTCTAAGCTAATTGTCCGTGTCAGGCTCTGCTGGGAGTGTTGGTGTCTGGGAGTATGTCACAACTCTCAGATCAGAGTCATCGTACAGAGGAGCTGTGTGTCCTAGACCTCAGTACCTGAGCTGCACATCACTGTACCTCAGTCTAAGCTAATTGTCTGTGTCAGGCTCTGCTGGGAGTGTTGGTGTCTGGGAGTATGTCACAACTTTCAGTTCAGAATCATCGTACAGAGGAGCCGTGTGTCCTAGCCCTCAGTACCTCTGCTACACATCACTGTACCTCAGTCTAAGCTAATTGTCTGTGTCAGGCTCTGCTGGGAGTGTTGGTGTCTGGGAGTATGTCACAACTCTCAGGTCAGAGTCATCGTACAGAGGAGCTGTGTGTCCTAGACCTCAGTACCTGAGCTGCACATCACTGTACCTCAGTCTAAGCTAATTGTCTGTGTCAGGCTCTGCTGGGAGTGTTGGTGTCTGGGAGTATGTCACAACTCTCAGATCAGAGTCATCATACAGAGGAGCTGTGTGTCCCAGCCCTCAGTACCTCAGCTACACATCACTGTACCTCAGTCTAAGCTAATTGTCTGTGTCAGGCTCTGATGGGAGTGTTGGTGTCTGGGAGTATGTCACAACTTTCAGTTCAGAATCATCATACAGAGGAGCCGTGTGTCCTAGCCCTCAGTACCTCTGCAGCCACGTGGTTTCCTCTGCTGCACATCACTGCTCCTCGTTTGTCCCATCCTCAGTCAAAGCCAAAGGTACTTTTTAGTTTTAAATTAAAATCATATTTGAAATAAATTTTATTTTTTGAGAAATTAAGCTAAACGGGTTAATAAATGATTTCAATACTTTGAGATCTGATACAATAGAGGAGTATTTGGTTAAAAAATCAAGCCAAGTCTAGGTATCAAGTTTGAGTGATCACGCATCAAGTCAACCAAGTGATTTAAAACAGTGCTAGAACATTAACTGCCATTCTACCTCTGAAGAAGCCCCTGAAAGTCGTGAAATATCAGTTAAATTTGTTACTAGGGACATCAAAATGAAAAAGTAAATTGGTCCAGGGCCTAGGTCTTAACATGCTACCTACGGGAATAGCTACTTCCCTATAGGGAAATTTGGTTAAAATAAGTTTGTAAAAGAATTTGTACAGTAACAGTACAGATTACTGGACTTGATATAGTGATATTTTAGTTTGTCTTTGGTCCAGGAATGGTACCTTAAAAAGTTGATAGAGATTTTGTGGCAAACCTTAAAGGCTAACATCAAGTTTTACTATTTGGAGAAGCAGCATAATTAATGTTTTTTTTATGAATTTTTGTAGAACATTTACCTGATCAGCCAATTAACCATTTTAAGAAACCGTCTTGTATTATTTTAGTTTGATTTCAAAAAACAATATATCTGAAAAATATTTATATTTAATAATTTTAAATTAAGTATAATCATCATTGCAAAATACAAAGGCTTTTCTTAAATTCATCTTGTAATAATACATGGTTATTGTATTTTTTTTATTACAAATTGGTACGTTTTTATTCAGGAGGAAACCAGGATCTTAAACTCAAGAAAGGTTTAGCTAAGGTTTGCATAAATTTAATTTAATGGAGAGTTCAGTCAATACTTATTTTCAGTTTCTGCAAGATTGCAGTTAAAAATTTTGCATGAAATTGTATTATTTGATTTTTGTGAAAGATTTTATTTTGTACTAATGTGTTTGCTTTTTTTATTAAATACAGATTTGACAAATTTGTAGATTTTATAGACTAATCTATTGAAAAAGATTCATCATACTTGCAAAATATTAACTACTAACAAGGAAACAAATACACCATTTTGGGAAAGTTCATATGAAAAACACTTTTGTGTCCAAAGCCAGCACTTTTTGACTATAAGTATTCACTTTTCACGTACATCTATACATATGTATATTTTATCACATATTTACACCCAGATATATTTGTGTTCAAAGTCAGTCCTTCAATTTTTTCCTCGATAGCAGTTTTTGTTGTCAATATTAACAAACCTTGTGTATTTGTGTTGAAATGTTGAACAGGTCTCAAATCTAGTGTGAAAAGGTTTTCTTATAAACTGAGATTTTCAACTATTCAATATAACTGTTAACATTTTATTAAAATAGCTATACAATCTGTATAACATTTCTATTTTTTTTTTGTATTTGTTTACAAAACCATAATCTGATATAAATTCCTTCATTATCTCTGTAGCGTATTTAAAACTAAATAGGCCTACAAGTACTAGATCTAACAGCTAGACAATCAAATTGTGGCTCAAGAGTTTATGTGGTTTTTTTACCACAAAGATATTTGCATTGATGTTGTTTCAATTTTCACTTAGTTTGACTCTGTGATCTTTTTTAATAAGATGGCACAAATACTTTCTTAAAGAAATCATTAAATCAAACATAAAGAAATGTACAACCTTAAGAAGTAAAGAGCCTCCACAATACAAATTGAATGATTATTTGTTTAAATTTATTCTAATAAACTAATAAACTAAGGAATAAAATAAATAAAATAAAAAAAATAAATAAAATAAATAAAATAAATAAAATAAATAAAATAAATAAAATAAAATAAGGAATCACTAATAAACTAAGCATTTGATCTTGTAAAGATCACGTAAAAGTTTTGATAAACCCTAAAAAACCTTAACATTCAAATACACAATAATGATAACATTTCACTTGACTTGCAGGCCAAGAAACCTTCAAGTTCCCCTTCTAAAGGAGCTTCCACAGAAGCTGCTGCCAAACAAAGCACAGCTTCATCTTTCTTCGGAGTGATGGCTACCGACTGGTTCGGCTAAAACTATTTGTAATCTTTTGTTGTTTTTGCCACAATGTAATTATTCTAACTGTAAATACATATGTTGTCTCTACTGTTATCTGTATACTGTTTCCTAAAGTACTAATAGTATGACACTTTAGATTTAAAACATTGAAAGGTAATTTATTTAAGTTTACTGTAGTTTATGTATGTGGGGCCGCTTGGTGTTGTTCAAGAAATGTTTTTCAAAATTTCCCATCATGACAAGTAAACAAAATTTTTAACATTTAGACCAAATCACAAAAATTAATTTTTTTACTTATTGGTTCAAGAATTTGTTTGCTAGAACATCGTATTACCATTGCAAACAATATAGGCCTACTTGAAACAATCGGTGTTACTTTAATTTATAAAGACCCAACGATGTTCCTAATTATTTATCTGGTTGAAAGAAAAATTGACAATACCTATTTGTATTTCTTAAAACTATTTAATGCAGTAAAACAAAATTAAATATTAAAAATAATGTAAGTTACTTCACAAGGCTAGTTTCAAAAATCTGCAAACTTTGTTCCAAATCAGAACTATTAGGTACTTCTTATATTTTTTCTTCTTCCTTGTTTTTCAGATGTTCAGTTTAATACATATGAAATACATATCTGGAAAAATTATCAATTGCAAATATAAAACCGTTAAAATGAATTTACAAAATTGTTATAAACACTTGTCGCAACAGAAAATTCGTTCTCAACCTAAAATATTTTAAGTAGATTTAATTTACTTTACAATTAGTTTGATATTGTTTTGAAATGTGTTTTCTATAAAAACTTATATTTTATAAGAACCTAATAAAAATGAAATAGAATTTGATTTTTTACTCGTCATTTAATTAATTGACTGTTGGGATTAAAATTAACAAAGTGTATTTAGAAAAAAATGTAATATCCCTAAGCATCTTTATTACTATTATAAGGGTTCACATATCTTGTTTCCACTAAATCAGCATTCTTGCCATCAAAACCGAGAATTTGATACTCAATTTTGCAATTTTTTTGTAAACTCGGTGTGGCCAATCAAGTTTATTATCCTGATGTTTTTGTCATCACCATTACGTGTCAATATGTTTTTACGGTTTATAATGAATAACCATAAATCTGATAAAATGATAGGACATTTTCCCTAGAGCAATTATTATAAAGATAGGAATTATTAAGGAAATTGACAGGAAAGCAGGCTTACCGTTAAATAAGTCCGTAGGGTAGGGACACATAAGATATACAACACAAAAGTAGAAATTTTCTTCAACCACTGGTGAAATGGCAATGGCAGTTGCAATTTTAATCTATTACACCTTGTCAGGGTTTCCAAAACAGCTGAAGAGACTAAATGTTGTTTCTACTGTTGCATGTATGAATATGTTTGTTCACTCATCTATATATATAATTCTGTAAGACCAAATTTTTACCAGAAAATTGTGGACGTCTGGTAAGTCGCAGAAAACTGGGAAAGGTCTTAAATTAAAGGTCTTGACCCCAGGGACTCGGGAAAAATAGCAGAATTCCCATAAAGTTACCAGAAAACGAGGTAAAAAGTAAAATATCCACCATAAGAAATGCATGGGAACTGAAAAACGTCTGTATTCTATCAGTTGTTACTTATTTATTTGCAATATTTACATTTATTCCGAAAGTCAATGTTGGTAAATAATGTTTCAAAATGAATTGTGTTTAATTTTTTTGTTTTCCGTTTTTATAATGAGTGAAGTAACTAGACAGGGTAGGGGAAGACCTGCAAGACGTGGAAGAGTGTCCAGGAATTAAACAGACTTAAGAAATGCAAAAGAGAACGTCATGTAGGGCCTAACTGTGAAAGAAATCCAGAAGCTGTTTTACAACCTGTCTTTAGAAGAACGCTGGAAAATGAGTTGAGTGTTGCTTCTCACAATCTAGGTCCTCCTAAAGCACTTGCATGCATTGTGACGCATTTCACTTCGCAGAGGAGGCCACAAATGGACATTTCAACGCATGTTGCCACAATGGACATGCCACAACCACAAGTAAATGACGAACTAAAAGAACTGTTTTTACATGATTCGAACTTCATAAAAAACATAAGGCAATACAACAGTGCAATGGCTTTTGCGTCGCTTTCCTCTACACAAAAAGAGATTCCGGGAAATGGGCCTTACTGTCTTAAAATTCAGGGATAAATGCATAGATATATTTCTGACTTACTACCGAAAAATGGGGAGTTCCCTTCATAATAATTTTAACCTTTACATTTGGTTCTCAAAATGGAAACTATAACAGAATTCGTAAGATTACAAAACAAATCTTCAATTTTAAACTAGAAAAGATGTGCAATGTTTGGCTGTATGATTTCAGCTCTGATTCGTCGTTCTCCGGGCTCAGGCCAAACCGTGTGCACGTTTCCATTTTGTTGTGTCCATTATGTTGTGTTATTGATTTAATCATTATTTTACAATTGTATTTCATTGACACATCAGAAGCAACTAATATACGACTCCAACGGAAGAAAACCAAGATATAAAACAAGAAACACTGTTAATTTTAAGTAACATATAATTGATAGTTTTAAAAACCATTTCAATTATTTTTTATATATGGTTGTTTATTGTAGTCTAAATTAGGGGCTATGGCCCCTACAGGCCACTAGTTATGAATAATCCACTATATTTTCACTGTTCTATTCAGCTGTGTTGGCAACCCTGACAAGGTGTAATAGATTCAAATTGCAACTGCCATTGCCATTTCTCCAGTGGTTGAAGAAAGTTTATACTTTTGTGCTGTGTATTTTATGTGTCTCTATGGACTTATTTAAAGGTAAGCCTGCTTTTCTGACAATTTCCTTAATAATAACCTTAAATCTGCTTGCTATTGGATTTGACAATGGGTTATACGACCTTGAACTAATACTTCTCTGAATACTGTTTAACACTAAGGACTGACGATTTACACAACCTTAGATACTTTTGTTTAGAATTTCTGCAGTGAAGCTCAAATGTGTTTAACAATTGCCATGTTTTAGTAGATATTATGATCATGTGAGAATTGGGCATAAACCTAATGACAATGTAACCATAGCCACCTCTAATACAAGGCCGCGACGTTCGAACTGGCAACGCCGCACTCACCCGCTGCCTGAGTCCGGCACTCGTGCTAGGCTATAAACATCAATGAGAGTATTGCTGCTCTGTATCAATGAATCAAAGTATTTAAATTACATATTTTTGGATTTTAGGGTATGGTCAAATAGACAAATTAGAATCTAGGTTTTTTTATTTAGTGAAAAATTGTAACATACCACAATATGTCTAAAACTAAAAATACTAACATAATGTTTTTGGTTGCGTTTATCGTATTGTAAGTACGATAAATGTGGAAATAGATGGACTTTACATATTTCCTTTGTTAATTTGATAATCTATACTATTATATAACAATCTCATGGTGTCTGTATATATGTGTGTTATTCAACATAGTAAAAACTACTAGACAGACTGGGCTTAAATTTTACAAATTATAGCTACTATACCAAGAATGGTAATACATTAGGACTAACTTATTGCCACTTCAATATTTGTAGAGACTTTGGGATTTGTAGAGACTAACATCTAACAATTTGTTCGAATAAAATTGATTTTCAATTTTCAATAGGAATATTATGTTTTAGTCTACCTGAGAAAACCATTAGTTAGCGACAACAAAATTTGAAGTTTTCATTTTGAAGGCATACTGACTATAAATAATTTATTTTCTTTGAATAATTACTAAGCAAAACGTTTTTAATTTTGTAAACTATTTCAGAAGCTAGGCCTCCATATGGCTTTCCACAATATTAATAGAATTGTTTTATCACATCAACATTCAGACTGGAGTCGGAGAATATGATGTTTTAATTGTTAGATGGTGTAGTACATATTTTTTACTAGTAGGCCTACTTAACAGAAACACCGGTTTATTTCTTCGAAGTGGTAGTTATTTAAGTTATTTTAATCAATTAACAACAGCTTTAATCAATAGATAGACAAATAAACAAGGAAATAGTACGGCTTTCTCATACCTAAAACTCGCGTGTATATTTACACGAATCATTGTCTTATTCTTAATTTTTTTTACAAATTTAAGTTCATATTCGTGAAAATGTTTCACACAAAAACGAGAATTGTTTTAAGATGTCTAATTTGACCGAAGAATAGCAGGAAGCTATTGTTGCTTATGCGGCGGATCGCGTAGAATCTTAGAACACTCAAATCAAATCAAATCAAATATATTTATTTCCATTCGGTACAATAAAGTACAATAGGATAGGTCAGATTGCATTTTACAAATTGTCATGAAGCAAATTAAAGTAGATGTGAATATAAAATTAAACTTAAATTATATAATATATAGAACAAAACAACTAAACAAACAATTTCTCCTTCAAGCTGGCCTGGAACATCAATAACAGATTAAATATAAAATAATTTCTGATAACATCATATCTTAATAAAAAAATAGAGGATTAGTTTTCAATAATAGTTTTAATGTGAAGAATAATTTATAGAGACTATTAATTAATAGAGTGTGGGGATTTGTATTTAAGTGAATTTTAGTATTTGTGTGTTATCTATTACATATACAGTTAAATCAAAGATATACAGATTAATAATAGTAGGAATTTTCATTGAAACAAAAAGAGGTTTACAATGTTCATCAAGTTCAGATTCAGCGATAACCCTAACGGCTCTTTTTTGGAGAATTAAGATTTCATCCACTCTACTGCAGTTACCCCATAGAATTAATCCATATATAACTATTGATTAAAAGTAGGCAAAATAGGCAGTTCTAACAGAATTTGTTACCAAGCAATGAACCAGGCGTCTTAGGAGAAATATTGTTCTTGATAGTTTTGGTGTTATATAATCAATGTGAGATCCCCAGGTATGTACTGTATGTATTATTCATTTTTAATTAAGCTTTCGTAATTATTCTTGCATCCAGGCACATCACATCTATCTGGCATGCTGTAGTAACAAGTTCAATGTCATTACTAATGATTAAGGGTATTAGAAACGCGATTATGCATGTCGAGTACACGACTCCTCCATTTACTGTAATGGTAAGACGACCGCGCACCAAGACACGGATGCAACGTTGCCACTTTTCGCTCGCCGCGGCCTTGTATTAGAGGTGGCTGTGATGTAACTACATAACTAGCTAAGACAGTTAAGTTACTTACCAAACCCACAGACACACTTGTGTTGTTTATTTTAGGTTTGTTATTCACTGCCCATCTGAGATACATTTGGGTCTCTTTTGAACCAGTTCATGAACCACCAAGCTGTAACAAAAGGCAACATTATATCTACATCAACATTTGCTACAGTAGGCTCACTGCAGTAAAATCACGTGCACTCAACTTTTTATGAAAAACTGAGAGATTGCATAAGCAAACGATTTAACAGTTAGTCAGATATTCAACATTATCTTTAATGCCAAATATTTAGTTGGCTTTTGTAGTGAGGACTAAATTGTATCAACACAATTCCTATGATTGGACTTCTTATTCACTTAAACTCATACAGTTAGCTATCCTAGTAATTTGCCATTCAGACGAAACATTCAAAATATCATTCCACCATCAAGGCAGGTCTTGTATGTGAGGGAATAGAATATCATGTCTACTTACACTTCTGGGAAGATTCACGATTGATGATCGTTTCATTGATGACAAAGTGCTTGCGTCTCATTTGCCAATCTACTTTTTGAGGGATATCTGGAATTAACCACTTGACCAGTATCACAGCTATCATGATAATATTCTGGAAACATGTCAAATACTTTAAACTAAATATTCAAGTTGATTTTAAGTTAAGTGTGTTTTCAAGCAAACTTTTAAAAATAAAATTCACTCTAACATTCACATCACATATTCACTTATTGCATACTTTTGGTTACTATCCATCCTCAATCCCATATTTGAAAACAATTGAAAGATATTCCTTTTAAAATCTGAACTATTCACCTCAAAAAATATAAAGAATCCAAAACGAGCTGCCAACACAACCCAAAACATTCTCGTCTCTCCATATTTATTCTCAGACCATGGGGGTTCTCTGAAGTCCAAGTATCTGTAAAATGAAATATTTTTGAATTAAACATACATCATACTACACAGATAGAGGTACTTTTCCATCCGTATTGATAGGCTGGAAAGTTGGCATTCTTTGCCGTGCCTACAAACAGAACAGAAATGTAATGTACTTTTACCGTGCAATTAGTCAGCTGATGAAATAAACAGCTAATTGTAACGGCCTATTTTATTTTCTGAAATATAAAAATATTATAATTTAAGTTATGTCTTAAATAAATTGTGGTATGAGTTTAAAATGTACTAATGTTTCTGTGTTGTATGATGTAAAGTATACAAAGTCGTACGTTACTCGCCCGGTAAGCTGTACCGTACTCGCACAAAAATCCTGCGCGAGGCGTGCTCGCAAGGTAAAACATCACTTACCGGGCTGGGGCTAGTAATGTTATATAATATTTAAACACTAATCAACTGATTTTTTAAAGATATACTTGTACGTTGAGTTTAGACTGGGGTGGTCAGTGCAGTATATTATTAGTTAATCTTTCCAAATTGGGTTCTTATCCTTTCCTATGTTTATGAAAAAATGTTTGTTTGTGTCCTTTGTGATAACGAGGTACAAGATGATTTACTCATGTAAACCAATGTACTTTTGGGATATTTTAAATGGCCATCTCCTACTGAAGATTTTTACAATAATTGAATGTTCGAGTGCAGACTAAGGGCAACAACACTTTGGTGCAGAAACTGGACTAAATCCAAAAAGGTGTTAACTATAAGTAAATATTAACACCACACAAAATATTTATCACTAATCCGCAGGAAATTGTATCTTAAAATAAAGCTTCAAGAGTTTAATAATTAGAAACAGATCTACATTGGGTTTGTGCTTTTTTGCATGATAATAACATTCCCAGTTCAGAAAAATTTAGAAAAACCGTCACTCAGTTTGAATTAGCTTTCAGGGACAAAGTTCATACAGGCATCTTGCTCGTACCACATATTCTATTCATAGCTCAATTTTTTTTTTTTATTGAGTTTCATTGCCTTTTCAATTGTATAATAAATAATAATAATAAAAATCTTTATTTGTCATAAGGATACATTAGATCATCGACAAAGTCAAAATCATGATTATACATCAATCGTCAAACAAAACAAAATCAAAACACTTTCAATACTTTGAAAAAACAATAGGGCTTAATAACTAAAGTATGTACATATGACTAAATAAACAACAATATAAGGACCTGATAAAGCAACAGGTTAGCAGCAGGGTTATACAATCAAAGATTTATTTGGCCAGATTTGAACAAATCGTCCAGGCTATAAGAAGGGTTGTCTAATAGCCAATTATAAAACAAGGACTTAAATTTTTCTTGCGGATAAGCATCAATATTGTGTTTTAAAAGGTTATATACTTTAGTTGATAACACTATGTGGCTCTTGCTAGTCTTACTCAGACGATGTGATTCTAACAAGGCACTATTTTTAAATCTGGTATTGTGATTATGATTATTGAATTTTAGGTGATGGGGTTTTTTTAAGATATAAAGGGCAAGATCATAAATAAACAAATTTATTACAGTTTTAATCTTATAATCCTTAAAAAGAGGCTTGAAGTGCTCGTCTGCCTCTGATCCATTCATAGCTCTGATGGCCCCCTTCTGTAGGATTAAAATTTCATTAATTCTTCCACACCCACCCCAGAATATCAATCCATATCTCATTACAGACTGAAAATACGCAAAATAAGCCGATCAAATAGTTCTTTGGAATTACATCTTTGAGACGACCAAGAAGAAAAATTACTCGAGATAGTCTAGTAGACAAATAATTTATATGCTCATTCCAGGATAGTTTATTATCAATATGAAGACCCAACAATTTTGTAGTGACAGCACTATTTTCATTATTTAAGGCAGAATCGTGTTTCAATGTAAATTTTATTTCTTGAGTTTTACAGTCATTCAATAGAAAGCCATTGGCATGAAACCATTTGGATGCGTTTAATTTTGTGACTTGGACTAAATTTTGAAGTACAAGTTGGTTATTGTTTTCATGAAAAAAAGTTGTATCATCCGCGTACAGAATAGTTTTAGTATTTATTGCCATTGGAAGGTCATTAATGTAAATTAAAAACAGAAGTGGGCCAAGGACTGATCCCTGTGGAACGCCCCAAGTTACTTCCCTTTCTTGTGACTTTTTCCCATTAGAATTTACTAGTTGTTTCCGGTTTTTTAAATAAGATGAAAGAAAATTTAGAGAAGATCCGTTAAACCCATACAGTTCTAACTTTTTAATAAGAATTTCAAAGTCAACACAATCAAATGCTTTGCTCAGGTCACAAAAGGTGCCCTGAGCAAAGGTCTTGCTTTCAAAGGACTGATGAATTTGCCTGATGAGATTGTCAAGAGCATCAATTGTAGACATTCCTTTTCTAAATCCAAATTGGGAAACATTAAACAAGTCATTTGCCTCAAAATATTCACTGATTTGTTCATAGACTAGTATTTCAATTAATTTTCCAAGGACTGGGACAATTGAGACAGGACGATAACTCTGGGGCTCGTTTTTGGGACCCTTCTTATAGACCGGGCAAACGCGAGAGAAATCTTCATTGAATCTGGAAATAATCCTTCCCTTAACAATGCATTTGTACTCATAGCAAGGGGTACATCTAAACTATGGATAATACTTTTAAATAATTTGTTTGACATTCCATACACATCTTTACTATTAGAATTTTTCATTTTCTTTACTGCATTAACTATCATTTTAGGTGTTATTTCATCCCAACTAAATACAGTGTTATTTTTATTCAATTTTTCATCTACAAAGTCCAAATAAGAGCTACATGTCCTTTGGTTGTCCAGTTTTTTTTTATATCAATAATAGAGTTAATGAAGTAATTATTTATAATGTCTGAATCAATCTTTGGTGCTACTACATCACTAGATACGGTACTTTGTTTTTCTTAATTAAATCCCAAGCTGCTTTACATTTATTGCTGCTGTTTTCTATATGGAATGCATTATTTTGAAGTTTTGCTTATTTCACTGCTACTTTATATTTATATTTCAAACCATTATAAGCCACATTGATACCTAAATTACATGAATCACTTGTATTATTTTTCAAATAAAACAAATTCAAAAGTTTCTCCTTCATGGAGGCTAGATCAGCAGTATACCACTCTTGTTTGGATTTATTTTTGCTCTTACACCCATTTTTGTTTTTATTTTTTACAAGTACCGGTATGGCTAAGTTTCACAACCATAAATGTAGATTTCTCAAATAAATGTCTGTGAGGTACCAAATTTTAAGGGGGGTAAAAACGTATTGCTAGTCAACAAACACCATAACTTACCCGATTTTTATCCACAACATCCTACTCCTAGGCCTATGTGTTGGCCATAGCTTGGGCTTATGGGCCAAAGAACGTAGGCCTACTTTTAATAACAGTGAAGTACACAAACACACCCACAACGATATATTTATTCATAATAGCACTTCGTTTCACATAATAAAGTTAAAACGACCGATTTTACGAATATTTAACGCCGATTACAACATCACTTAACCTCGAAATGGTGTTTGTTGACCAACGACAGACGACAACTAGACCGGCTCAACAGGTGAATTTCCGATCAGCTGTTGGCTAGTTCTCAAACTCACCACCAGAGCGATTAAGCCTCGACCGAGGAAATCAAGATTTGAGCCGGACAAGGATGTTTCGCTATTTGAAGGCGGTTTCACACTGGCATCCGCGGACGATTTCTTCGTCCGCGGACGGATGCGAAAATAAATCGCTGCCCATGTTATCAGATGGGACCGTTCACACCGCCCATTGAAACGTAGCGTCCATCCGCGGATGCAGAAATTCGTCCGTGGACGATTTGGTGGAATCGCTCTGGGAGCGATTTTTCTAAAACGTCCGCGGACGATCACGCCCTCGCGCATGCGCAGACAGAGCAGTAGCTGAGTAGCTCTCAGCGAGGCATGTGTCACTCGCATCACAGTGTTCAGTAGTTTGTGTTTACAGTCATAGTGTTCATCTAGTTGTTGTTTTGTGTCCTCCCTTGTTGTTTGTTATGGCTGAATTAATTGAGGCTGTCCGTGCCTACCCAGTTATCTGGGATACAACTATAGAAATTTATAGAGATCAACAAGAGAAAGATAAAATTTGGTTGGAAATTGCGACTACACTCCACAGAGATTACAAAGAGAATAAAGTATCCTAACCAATAACCATGTATATTATACGAATTACTGTACAGTAAATCATTATTAGATTTGTATTACTTTGATCATTTGCATTATTACAATGATTCACCAAATCGCTGCCGCTTACTGTTAATTGGATGAACCCACTTTCTCCTTTTTGATAATGAGTACAAAAGTAGGGCCTACAACCTCGTCGTCACTATCATCACTACTTGAATCAAGCCACAGAACAGAAAATCCGGGTTGACACCATGGGACAGAAGGCTCAGACATTTTGCACACCTCCACTGAGTTGTAAGAGGAAGTATGTTTAATCTATGATTGTAATAGGAATGGCCAACTCCATATGCGCATGCGCGAATGAGTGGACGTTTGAAACGTAGCTCGCAATGTGAAGGGGGCGCGTAGCATCCATCCGAATCATTTCATCCGTCCGCGGACGAAATTATCGTCCGCGGACGCCAGTGTGAAACCGCCTTGACGTCTTCCAGGAAGACGGTCTGTATAAGGAAGACGTCCTTAGCCAGATAGTTTACAGTTTAATACGAGTATTTATATCACATTGGCTTAAGATTGGATACTCGTCGGCCCTACAGAGTCATTCTAAAAGTTAGGCAAAATTATCCAAAACACTTTAGCGAAGGCTGGGATGATATAGCTCCAACTGAGCGTCTGCAGGATTTCCTGAGCGCTTCTAGAGCTCTGAGCCTTCGATAAAATTTAAATAAATTGATCAGTCAAAGCCGTGACAACTTCGTATCGATACCCCTGGATTTTTCTTGGCTCCTTCTGAGCACTCCGGGGAAGAAATTTGAGTGTGTCCAGTTCTAGGGTAGGCCTAGCCTGACTTTGGTTAATACTAGTTTATTCCCCCCCTAGAATTTTGCGTCACATGTCAAACAAAATAGCAAATTATTAATTCGGAAAAGTAACAGAACAAGACAATACTCCCGCCGCAGCAAACCTGCAGACTAAAAGTGAATTTCCATTTACCTGGCTGGATTTCTCCAAAAATATTCCCTGAAAATGGTCAGATTTTTTTCCTATTTAAATAACATTAATTTTCATGAGTACCTAGGTTTGTTGCTACAGGGAAGGTAGGTGTGTTTTTTATTGAAATGTTGATGGCTTATTATAAAATAAACGAAATTGCCAAATGTGATTAAAATATATCCATAAACAAGCAAACTACAACAGTTGATTTATTCTCCATGAGAATAACATGGGAATCTTAAATTTAAAGTTTTTTTTTATTATCTCCCTAACCGTTAGGCATACAACAACACTTCAATATACAAAATTATTTCTTTTTTTAAGCTCTACAAAATGGTCTGGAAAGAATTTGTAAAGTTTTATGTTTTTTGAGTCAAAAATAGGAAAAACCAAGTTTTATCCTGTAAAACCCCCCATAAACCCTCGTTACCATAGTCCGATCATGCTGGTTCGCGAAATCGTTCGAATAAATGTAGGTTTACACGTTTCTACCAAACTTCATCAAAATCGGATCATTTTTGCATGAGTTATCGCGCTAACGGACACATATATATATACAAGAATTTGAACAGAGGGTGTTTTTGGCCTCTGGGGACCTCGAAACGAAAAAGTAAATCGGTCACGGATCCAGGTCTTCCATGAGTAGCCTACTACGTTATTAGCTTATTCCCTATATGGGAAATTCGCTAAAAATGTGAGAGGAGAGAAATCCTATACAAATTGAGTTGACGGAGTGATAGTGGGAAGGACTATAAGAAGGTGGAGAAGTGAAGTGGAGTGTGGAGTGAGATGGCAGATAGCATCAAACTGTGGAGTCCTTAAAGAAGATGGAGAAGCCTAGCTGACGCCCAGACCTAGGAATAACTAGAACAGCAGAGGATTTGACTATGTCCTTCATCCAAATCCTAGTACGCTGCTCTAGCCCAGAACTGTTACATATTACTCCAGGCTAGGCCTAGAGGGTCACGGCATTTTCACACAACTAAAAGACACATTGGCGATTGACGTTTGAAACTTGTATACCAAACCCTGCACTCTAACACTAGACCAGTTCGCTCCCCATAAAAGAGAATATTTACGTAATTGGACCTTACTTAAATTAGTACAGTACCTGCAATACTCTATCGTGGTGTTGGGTTTATTCTTCATGTCGAGATCTTTAATAGCCATATAAGACAAAGTGTAGTTGAGGTAGCCTGCTTCTCCCAGATTAGAACTGAAGGCCAGTCTGTACACCATCCTAGGGATGAAGTTGGAGGTGAAAGCAATGATGAAACCCTGTGGAGGAAAATGAAATTAGAATAATGTAAAAATAAAAATTGTTCATATCATATTTTATGTTAATATCAGAAAAGCTTGCTAAACAACCAAGTAAATTTGTAAGAAATGAACAATGAATTGATATTCTCAGGACTATGCAAATCCTGTCGTTTTTGGTAACTAAGTAGTGCGAAATTAAAAAAAAAACTTCTGTAGAGTTGTTAGCTTTTATTACATCCCTGAGTTAACCTTGTGCTATTCACTTTAAAAAACTGCATTCTGAAGAAGAAGATTTATTCTTAAATTATAATCTGAACTCTACAAAAATTATTTTATGTATTGGTAAAGCTAACAAGTTCTATGGATTGGAATGGTTTTCTTATATATAAACTGGTACCCTATTATCACTTGGAAATGTATTTACATTGTATGCTTGACTTTCTGCATTTATAAAACCTAATGTGTCAGAAAGTTAATTCAATGGACAATGACTTTTGGCTTCACTAGATCTTTTAAACGCCTCCTTTGGTAACTTGCGACACATAGTAGAACAAACATAAATATTCTTTGGAAGCTAATGAACAATTTTTAGCAGTATTTGCAAGTGATTTGAACCATAAAACATGCATTTATCATTAACGTTATCTCTAAAAAGATGCAAAACTTTCTGATTGTTCTTGTTTGGTTAAGGCTTTGCTTTAAATGTATAATTTGTCAAACAAATTCAGATAGATTTGGAATGAAACATCAATAAATTCAAATTTAAAAAAATGAAACAGACATGCATGATTAAGTAGATATAATCTCAACAATAATAATTTGTCGAGTAATTTTTTTCTGTTGGAAAATACAATTTAAAAGATGTAATTACATTTGTAAATACGGCCAAATTGGATACAAAGTTGAGAATATCGAACCACACTCCAATGCCTTTGGTACGACGCAGCGTCGGACGTCGATGGTACACCAGGAGCTTCTTGGCATCGATCCTGATCGTAAATATATTGTTGATGAGTGCAAACAACGGGGCAAGCGGAAACGCTACCGCAAATAGTGTCACAAAGCCATACTGGAAGACTGGAAACCGTAGAACAATTATGTGTCACACTAGGTAATGTACTTTACCGTTATAAATCTCAAAAGCATTAACAATTTAAATTTCTGATTCAACACCAATCTTCAGGTTTTTATGCAAAATGACTTGGTTAAAATGTGATGATTTTCAAGTTTTTAAAAATAGCTGAGTCTAATCCAAGTCAGTAAAATGAACAAAATAAAAATTGATGAATACGTCGATGAAAGATTAGATTGTAGGAAAACTGACCATTCACTCAGACTACTCCTCGGATGAATTAGATTTCATATTTAAAGAGTTAAGAAACTTAACACACATTCCAGCATGATGATAAAACTAACAAAGTAAGCTTTATGACATATGAATAAACTTACTAAAGTACATTGTACCAAAGGAATGTAAACTGTAGTAAATAAACATGATTAGAAAAAAGAAGCAATAAATGTCATCCCCAACCCAAACCTGATAAATGTAGTTTGTTATTTTTTGTTACACAGACCAACCATAATTTAATTACAATTTAGAACATACATTTTTTCTCAGACACATAAAAACAATGGTTAGTAACCGTCTGGTTTGTTGGCACTATAGAGTTGTTCAATTACTTAAGATTAGAATAGTAGGCCTATTGAGCACTAAACAGATTTATTAATATTTCTGAAATAAAGACATAAGAGAAAAGATATAAGAGAGAAAGAGTACTTTATTACAGAAGTGAAAAAAAACTCTAAAAACATATTGATCCTAACTTATCTATAGACGAGTTTCATATACAATTAATTTAGGTTCAAAAGTTAAATTCTGTCACTATCTCCCATCTATACTTCCAAGCGTTTTCCAGATAACTAGCTAAAGCTCGCCAATTCCTCCCATTTATAAATTGATGATACTGTATTCTATTTCATTTAAAAAAAGTTTTCCCAGCCAAAAATTTCTTATGTGTTTTAAAATCAGTTCATTTTCATTTAGGTACATCTATAATTTTGATCAAGCCAAGGCTTGTAATTCGGGTTGATAAGCTCTAATCTTGCTTTAAGAATCCACAAAATGGTATGAGTATTGTTGAGTTTGAGGGGACTCTTATCTCCAAGTTCAAGGTCGAGCGTGAGTAACTGGCTGTGGTGGACGGAGGTCCGCGCTCGACCAACACACTCCCCCCTCCACATACAACGTAGCCCCTCCGCTACCGACCTCAACTGTTCGCTAAGCTCTGCTAAATCATCATTTTGAAAATTAATATTTATATTAAATTGTTGTCCCAGAAGCTTCCATTCTTTACTCCAAAATACATTCCTTGAAATAATTTGTTTAGCTAAAATTTTGGGCAATCTCCCAGTTAAACATTTCAATAAATAATTTAGATTTACATTCAAAGTATAAAAATATAACTTTTCACAGCATGTTTCCAAATATAATGCATAATTTGGTGTGTTAAAAGGTAAAGAAAATAATTTTTTGAGAAACATTTTTTGAACAGATTCTATTTGATCGCTTTCTATACATCCTCACACCTGAGCTCCGTAGCAGATTGTAGCTCGCACTACCGCTTCTAAACAACACATTTTAGAACTTAGCGGTACCCTTGGGCTACAAGAAACATGCCCAAATAAATAAAATTCTAAACAAATACATATTCAACAGAGTTTTGTGACTAGGATGAAATTCACACTAACCCATATCAAGTTTATCAGAGACCATGAGACGTGTGCCTTTCTCAACCAAGAGAAAGTCTTTCTCCCACTGGTCAGCATCACCATCACTTATCCTCGCTCCGACCGAGGTGAAACTCTTCCGCCACTTGTACAGGATGTGCCTACAATATAATACACCATGAGAGTCTGCAATAACAACTGGTAAGTATACATGGTATCCCACAAGTCACAAAAAGTTAGAAAGCTCTAAGGGACAAAACAAAAATAAAATTCAGTTTATTTTTTCAAAAACACCTCTTTGTTAAGCGGGCCAGCCAAAATTTAAAGGCAATGTTGTGTTCTTTAATTCATCCACAACTATGTTAGCTGCTTCCCACTTCTATGGGCCAATTAATCAACTTGAAAACTATTTTAAGGAAAATCAACACTCCCGCCAGGTATGAGTTACACTCTAGGTTAGGAGAATTGACCATCATTAAAATCTATTGCTAGTTGACTTATGTGTGCGCAGGAAATTGACTCGATGTAGAAAAATGCAAAAGTGGCATAGTGTGTAGCAGGAGGCTGTACACATATGCACGAAGCCGACGACGGGTATTGATTAGTTTACATCAAGACGGTGATCAAAGAAGAGGAAACTTTGCGTGCTAATCAACATGTTGGAAACCACCAGGGTTAACCACATTACTGAAACCTTGACAGTCTTCAAGAGACACCCTCTATTATTAGTTTGGCTATTCCTCTCATTCAATCACACCGCGATCCGCATGCAACATTTACCTTACTTTAATCACTAACTCCAACGAGACTGAGAGAAAAAAAAATCTACTTCACAAAGGATGTCTAAATTATGTAGTGTCCACTTTACTTTATCCCAGTCGGTCACCTGGTGATGGACTTTTAATAGCGGAACTCTATTTATTCTTAGAGGGAATGTTAATTTTCTTTCACAACGTTTTTAAGGGACCTGTTTCCCTCCCTTCCTATAGCACTTTAGGATTGCAGATACATTACTTTTTTACTTTTTCTAAGAAAACCTCTTCTTCAGCAATGACGTATTAACTTAAAATGTTTGGTAGAAAGTAAACTATTGATAGAGCTTGTATGGAACCAGAGAAAAGGATACTTACGGCCAGATAATCTTCTTGAAAGTACGAAAAGCTCTCGTTCCTATCATGATAACAGCCAGTTGTTGTGTTAGTTCAAGCATGCAACTACCTGCCGTGCACTGAAATAACAAAATAGTTATAAATATTTAAATAAATTTTGACAATTGTCATGGGTGTTAATGATGCCTTAATTGGTTCCTCAATGATGTTGATTGCCATCAATTACTATATAACTCAAGCTATAATATCAACCACTGTTGCAATGTTGTTCTTTGCTGGCTGTCCTGTAAACAATATTAATACTTAATCATCAGTAAAAATGTTTATCCTCTGAGATCTTGTATTTGGCTACCTAATAACTATGACTAAAAAAATTGTGAACTTAAAAAAAAGTGGTTTTATAAATAAATTTTGTAGTTTGATCTACATTTGAATTTGATTCAGACTGGAACTATATTCTTAAGTGAGATATCACTTAACCTCTTTAAAAATACAATGAGTGTGTACAACTATTGAGACTTAATACACATTATCTGACAATAACAATACACTAAAACGTTCCTCATTTTCTAATATACATTTTTACTTAAAAACGTACCTACCGTCATTGACCACTAACCTCCAGTTGACGGAAGCCAAAGACTCGGTGATAAGCTGCCGGAGTGCCGATAAATTTCCCCTTGAAGAACGCGATGTAGAAGATGGACGAGTAATTGTTGACAAACTGCAGCAGATAGAGCTTCATGACGAAAGAGTTGTCGAACTCAATCTGCGTGCGATGCATCTCCGCCTCGGTCAGCATCCTTGCCACTTTCTTGAAAACCTAGAAAAAATTTAGGTTTGTTGGGTATGATGTTTGATGGATATGTAGACATGGCATTTTCATGTTAAAGTTGAGTTTCGGAATGAAAACTGTTGTAATGAGCCAGAATAAAATTAGTAGTTGAATTTAGCCACGGACAATGTGTGCTAACATTTGATTACTGATTTCTGTTGAATAGAATACAACAAATATTTTACCTAGCAAAATTTTATACCACAACTAAATTGTTGATAGAGGGAGTTGTTTGTAGGAAGTCTACAAAATCTTATATATATTCCTGGACGATTTTATCCTTTAGTTTTTGTTACTATGAAGTTATTTGATATGCCATAAAAGATACAATAGTTTACAAATCTAAAACTAAAGAAGAAAATCATCCAGGAGAATATATAAGATTTTTTAGACTTCCTCTAATTTCAATACCTAAGGGGAGTATGCCATTGTACTAAACAAAATAATTAAGAAATACAGGTCATGTGTATAATGTTTCGCACAAAGATACAGGTAGTGAATTGCTTACAACAATTGATGGCTTAATACAAAGCAGCAAGTATGTAAAGCATACGCAGGTTGTCCGATCCATCTAAAATCCCAACTAAATATTTCTGAACAAAAGGGTGTCTACTACAGGGTGATTGATATAAGTGCGCCAGCCGTTTTATTCGAAAACTATAAGAGATATCAAAAAAAGTGTAAAGGTAAAGTGCCTTGGATTTTTTATTTAAAAAATTATAGTCAAGTCAAAAAAATTATTTTAGCCGCCATTTTTCCAATATGGCCGCCAACTTAGATTTTTCTTATGGAACACCCTGTATTTTATGATGTATTCTGGTAGAAAAAGTAATTTTAAGACGATTTTATTCTTGTGATTTTTTTCATAAACCTAACCGTTTCAAAGATAATAATGGTTAAAGTTTTGAAATTTCTGCATGAGAAAGAGTTTCGATAAAGGCCTAAGCAAGCATGCCAGCTGTCTTGTTCGAAAACCATTCAAAATTTCACAACTTAAACCATTATTATCTTTGAAACGGTTAGGTTTATGAAAAAAATCACAAGAATAAAATCGTCTTAAAATTACTTTTTCTACCAGAATACATCATAAAATACAGGGTGTTCCGTAAGAAAAATCTAAGTTGGCGGCCATATTGGAAAAATGGCGGCTAAAATAATTTTTTTGACTTGACTATAATTTTTTAAATAAAAAATCCAAGGCACTTACCATTTAACTTTTTTTGATATCTCTTATAGTTTTCGAATAAAACGGCTGGCACACTTAAATCAATCACCCTGTATAGAACAATAATACAAGTTGTTTCATTGCTTGGTCGTTTTTTTTTATGAAATCTTATTTATCTGTTATCATATATGAAAACAGTCTGAAGATCCTAGAAACTGAACACAGTTGTCTTTGATCATTAGGGTTTTTAATACATTGTCCTGACAAATGCATCAGCTGATCTTTCAGAATCAACGCTGTCATATCTCATACTTTCAACAACATCCTTCACATACCTTCCTTTTGTTTGACACACCCTTTTTTGCAGGCATTATATATCTAATCTAATCTATATCAACTCACTGGACCGAGTGCTATGATGCAGAGCAGGTTTAGAACCGTGGCAGTGAACGTAGCGAACATCGGCCAGTCATCTGGTAGAACTGTCATTATGAACATTTGGTACAGAGTCACTCCAATCAGACATGCTGTAGACACTGCAATCTTAAATACACCCAAATAAAATCAAAATAATGTCATACATAATAGGTGCCAACATCTAACAATCAACATTTATTAAAATAAAAACATTACAGTAAGTGTATTTAAATAATTTTATTTACTAGATTACAGGGTGACAAAAAAGTCTGGAAACGGCTTAATATCTTTTTAACTAAATCTAAATATATAAAAGGCAAAACCCTCACTGACTGACGCACTCACTCACTCACTCACTCACTCACTCATCACTAATTCTCCCACTTCCCATTTACCTAGGAGGCTGAAATTCTTTACACTGATTCTTTGGGCATTAAATAGGAAAACTAAGTAGTTTTTATTCTGATCGGGCTTTCGGGCTCCGCCCCAGTGGCTCTGCAGTTTCCCATGTTAAACTTATGATTTTTCATATTTAAAAGGAATTTCTTAACAGCTGTTTCAATTAAACAAGTTGGTTCTTTTCTATGATGTTCAATAGCATTAAAGTTACAAGGATTACCAACAGGGTGCAGCACTATTATTTTTTTTTAATTTATGACTACAGCCAATTTGCAACCAAAAGGTGAGTGAGCGTAGCGAACAAACTTCAACCTGGAAGCGAGTTAGCGTAGCGAACGAGCTCACTTAAACGGGGCAAAGCCCGTGGGTACAGCTAGTCCATTATAAAATTCAAACCTTTCACATAAATTTATAATTGTATGAAAACTACTTTTTCTAAGCATTACACTAACCATTTTTTGACATTCACCATCTTTAATGTAAGCATAGGTTGATATGCACATCATTTTAAAGGGTTAGTCAAGTGGAGTTCATTGCCGGAAACCGCGTCTCAAAAGGTTCATCCATTACAAAATGGTGGCTGTCCAAAGTTCTTGTGGAATATACCAGCCTTAGTATTGGTGAATACTTTGTATTCAACATTAGCTTGAGAGCTGAAATTGTATTTTATAGTCAACTAGCTCATAGACTAATATTATTCAATCTTCAAAACAAATTTAACCGGGTTTCAGCTTTCCCGGCTAATGTTGACTATGAGTATTTACCAATACTAAGGCCTGTGCAGGTATTTTACACAAGAACTTTGGACAGCCGCCATTTTGTTACGGATGAACCTTTTGAGACGCGGTTTGCGGCAATGAACTCCACTTGACCAGCCCTTTAAAATGATGTGCATATCAACCTATGCTTACATTAAAGATTATGTACCTACTCCTCATGGGCCGTCCCCTGGTGAAGGTCAAAACATGGCAATGCTTGCAAAAAGTAGTTTTCATACATATAAGTTGATGTGAAAGGTTTGAATTTTCTTACGGCTTTAGTAAAAAAAATATTAAGACACTTCCAGACTTTTTTGTCACCCTGTATATAATACAAGAAGCCGTTTTTTGTTAACATAACTCCTCCGTTATTTGTGAACTAATTTCAACGTTTAAGGTGTCAAAAGAATTATCTCAATATGTAGTTTTGCAATAAGGTTTTATAATTAAAAAATTCCTACCCTTAAAGGTGTGAGACCCTCTCAAAGGTCGGGTTTTCCCCATAAGAAATACATAGAACAAATTTGAAAACAAAAAACAGCTGTTTATAAAAAGAAACTCATTAGCTTTTTGGGAGTAAATATTAATGTTTGTAATATTGAGTAGGTTAAGAACTTTACAAGGTCTGGAACTTGTTAACTGTTTAACGTACTTTAATTGAGAAAAAACGCAAATGGATTGTTCACTTCTTGATGCTAGTAGGTTATGTTGCCAGTTCCTTGGAAAACTTATAGAAAGTTTTTTGACTGAATTCACCAACACAATCCAGAGCGTTTAGCATTTATTATAAATTATCAGTTAAAACTGATAGCAGAAATAATGTAGGTGAACCTTGATACGCAAATAGAAATATTTAAAATTAGTTTCTAATAAGTTTTCAAGCAACTCTAAGATGTAACTGGAATTACTCAAATTTAAACAGAATGTTTTCCTTGATGTTATGTTTCATACTATGCGGCTCAGTGAGCCGTTAATTAATTAAGCCGTTCTCTAGTTAATTAATTAACCAATGTACATCTAAAAAAATTTCATACTGAAATATCTATCTCTCCATTAATATTACATTGTCAGAGTATTCATGGTTTAATATTTTAAGATCAAATTAAAATAAACGGTATCAGCAATCTGACACATACTTTCTCCCATCAGCTTGTCAACAACCTTTATCATGGGTAAGTGGTGGGAGTGACTATGATATTTTATGGGGCAAATCACAAAAGTTGCAATAACTTTTGAAACGTAATATTTACAGCATTGGGGGTTACACCATTTTGTTAAAGATGAAAGGATTATAACATACTAAATTTTCATCAAAATCATAACAAGTGTTTTTTTTATTAGATTTTTTGTTATTTGGGTTTTTATGGGAAAACCGTTAAAAATAATGATTTCAAAAAATAAAAGAAGTCTGGAGATACCATGCATTAGTACTCACGTTACAAATTTAATTAAAATCGGACCACAGGTATGGTCTGTAACTCTGTACCAATACAGACACACGCACACATACATCATTTAAAAAAAAAAACTTTTTTGGGTTCAAGCTGGGGGTCCCAAAACGGATACATCCACAAAGAACTGAAACATTAAAATTTTGACAAAAACAATACTTTCTCCATATACTATGTAAGTTATAGGAGGAGAAAGTATTAGAACAAATTTTGGCAACTTTAAAATGAGAAAATGGTTTAAAATTTTCCACACTTACCAACAGCAGTATTGTTGCAAAGCTCAATACTTTCCCTGGGAATATGTGCTTCCAAAAGCTCAGACTCGGCTCCTTGATGTTTGTTATGAAGTTCAGGTGCCGGTTGACTTTCTTTTTGGCAACCAACTTTGTCAATTTTGCCGAGTACTCAGGCCGAGGGTTCTCATCCATGTTGTCAATCGTCGTCAAGTCCCAACGGAGAGTTATTTTAGCTGAGTACCGCTTCCAGGTCTCCAAGTATATTGCCGCTATTAAAAAGTACAGCTGCTATAGCTTTTTATTACCTATTATTAAAACCTGTGTAAAATGAGAGGCATATGAAACTTAATTTGTTCTAGGTGTTGCCTTCTGGATTACTTTACAATCATATACACTACAACAAGATGTTAAATACCTGGTTGCCAAAGTAGATTCCTGGTCGTGTGAATGGTAATCGGTTGATCCACTTAAGGTGCCATTGTCAAGCCTTACAAAGTGATATTATTGCTCCTTTTGAAGACTTTATGACGACCACCTAGGAGCTATAATTTTACTTTGTGTTTCTTAACAATGGCACTTTAAGAGGGAGAAAATCGGTTGTCACTCAGACGACTAGATTTACTTTGACAACCAATTAACGGTATCCGGTATCCAACCAGTTGTTATAATATCAAAACACACACCGTATACAAGGTTTACGTATATAAGGTTTATGTACGCATGATACATAAATGTAGTAAAATAATGTTACATGCCTTTAACCTCTTGCTGATGTATTCTAGGTGTCTATAGTAGTTAAAACAACGTCCCAGTTTGTAGTGAAAAAATTTAAAAATTCAAAAAGGCAAATCTTAATTTTGTGGAACTAACCTATCACAAATTTGTAAAGTTCTAAATTATATGTTAGGGTAAAGACTCTTTAAACTACACCTACCCCAAAAGGATATGAAGATGGCGAAAAAAACAGTCGATGTATTGTCAAAAATATAGAGAATTTCAGCCTCGGCACAGAAATCGGTGAGATTCCAAAAGCCACAAGAACTGTCGCACAGAGGGCAGATAACATCTTTGATGTTTCCTTGGCAAGCGTCATTCCTGCTGACAGTTCAATACTGAACAGGGGACAGTCCCAAGTCTTCATTCAGAATTGATTTAAACAAGATTAAATTAAATGTTTCCCTATAAAGTATAATAAATGTAGAAAAACTGGTTGATTTACAGAGACCCAGTTAGAATAATTTTTAAAAACTCTCTGTGAAGAAATACTTTTAAGAAATGAGTGTGCTTATTCCAACAGTGTACAATGCGTACATAACGGCTGCCATGTTGCGCAGGATCAACCTTTTGAAGTGCGGTTCGCGGCATTGTATTTTACTAAAAAAACCTTTCATTTGATGTTCATATTGACCTATGCTTCCTTTTAAGATTTTCTTCTGACTCCTTGCGGGACGTCCCCATGATATGACAGAAAATTCATAGTTCCTTGAAAAAGTAGATTTTTAGGTGTGGTGTTGTTGTACCAAATCTTATTGATTTATCTGTTGTCGTTTAGAAAATATTAAGCCCGTGCGGGACTTTATATACACCCTGTATATAAACCATCTGTATAATTTACACACAAAAAATCTTTCAAATTGAATTCACCCTCGATACTTTCATCCAATACCACTATGTGCTAACGCTCTCCACAGTGATTTGCTATACATTATTCTTACACCGTTCCTGACGTGGTTTCAAGGAAAACCGAGATGAAAAAGCAGCAAAGTCCGACCACAGAGGCCGGCACTAGCATGCTGACATAGTGACCAAGCCACAGGAAGTACAGCGCTATCTTGACTCCAAAGTACTCCATGATGTAGTCTGCTGGCTGATACTTGTACCAGTTCTTGTAGGATGCCCAGTGGTGGTAGAACCTGTAGCGCATACTGCCCAGGGTGTTCAAATCTCCCTGCAAGTAAAAATAATACAACTGTAGAACAACTGTACAACTGTACTGCAATAATGCAGTATGTAGTTGTGTATACAAAACAACGTGTTTATACAATGTGTGCATTAGATTAGATTTATGCAATGCTGAAACACAAAGGTGCATATTTTAAGGGGAAGGTGAGGAAACAATGAGTTTTGAATAAATAGCTGTTACCCACGGGCTTCATCCCATTTTACTTCATAAGTATTAATGAAACTATTGATTGGTTAAGTTATGCTGAAATATAGTAATACAAACAAATAAGTACAGCTGAGGTATTTTTAACAATAGGTAAATGGAAAGTCCCATTTAGAAAGTAATTACGACCTTAAAGGGCAATTTATGAAATAATGAATAGTTTTGCACAAGGTTTCTTGTCATGACGAACATTTTAAGTATATGGTTTATGGGGGTGGTGTGACTTGTAGTTTTCTCAAAAGATCATGGGTACTTTGGGAAATAATAGTGCAGTAGAAATAATCGAAAATATAGCTTAAGGTGGAACTAATTGCAACACAAATGATTCTTGCTGTGAATGGTAGGTAGTATGCTTCTAATCAACATACTAAAAATATACATCCGTACTGTGGCGCAAAATACGTTTTTTGGCCGCCATCTTGAAAAAAGTGTCAAAATTTTAATATTCGTAAAAATAACTTTTTGGGTATCAAATTATAAGAAATTTAATGCTGAAAAATGTTATAATAGTGGTTATAAGCACTATTTAGAAATACGATCGTAGTACAAAACACCCCCGCCGCAGCAAACCTGCAGACTAAACGAATTTCCATTTGTCTTAATTGATTTTCAATTAAATCTAGTAATTCAGTTTTAAAAATCTTTGTACAACTAAATCTAGAGTTCTACTGGACCGATTTTATAACCTAATGGGTCATTGCAAAGTAATTCGTGTAGATTTTCAAATAATTATTAAAGTTTGATTTTTTAAGATTTGCTAGGTGAAACCCGTCAACGTCGACAATTAGCTTAGGTACTGTTGAGTTTGCAAGTAAGATCTTTTAACTATAAATCGATGATAGATAACTTTATTTTTAAACAATTTGGGTAGTTTATAATTTAACAGTGTGCTTTAAGTACGTCCAATCTCAATAATCAAAAATTCCAATGGAATCTGGTATTTCACTAAAGATTTTTAGATAAAAAACATATAGGATAATGTAACTGCTGGAATACATTGTTAATTGAAGTAAAAATTGAAAAAAATCCAATTTAATTGTTTTCGTAGGGTTATACATTTGATAGATTAATTATGACAAATGTGTGCTTGCATAGCTTTGAGACCAAAATTATGAAAATCGGTCTGGTAGAAGAGCCAAACGAACTCGAAAAAACAAATTTAACTCCCGTAAGTAATGTACAGGGAGGCAGTTTGTGCATAGCTCAAAATATACGTCAAAATGAGTGCTGATGCTTAATAGCAAATCTATGGTGTGTCTATAGCTTTAGTTTAAAGCCGAATTTACACTATGTAGCAAAACCTGCTATATAACTTTTGCTGTATAACATTGCTATATAACATTGCTTTATAACTTTTGCTGTATGACAACTTTACAAACAATTTTAGTGATTCTGGTGCTCGTGCTATATGTTATATGTAGCACAACCTCATTCGCATTCCGTATCGAAATGTGCGCTGAAGAGACATTTTTCGTGGCAGCTATCGTGGTGATCTTGGAAGTCAGAGAGAGAGAGACAGACAGGAGCGAAGATTTTAGCAAGTTTTAGGTTTGACCGCTTCTTGCTTCGAGAAATAAGTACAGTGTAGCAGATTTATTACGGGTCCTTAATGATTATGAATACCCTGACAATCCATAATTAAAACGCTAAATAAGGCGACGGTAACTTCAAAAACGTTTTACGTATGATCAAAACGCCGGTTGTCCATGGAACAGTTCAATTAAGTTTATAATATCAATAGCCCCGATAATATCATCCCGATCCTAGGCACTGCCACTTTCCGTTTCCAGTTCATCCATTGTAAACAACGATCGCTGAGCAAAACCGTTCAGCGCTACATATAGCAGATGCTAGACGAAAAATATATGTATATCATTGCTACATATGGCAATGTTAGATGTAGCCCGTATTTCTTTTGATATTTACCGACTCCCGATGGATAGCACAATTTTAGCTATATATAGCAGTGTTATATAGCACTTTTGTAAAGTTACTTTTTCTACTTCTAGCAAATGTTATAACATTGCAAGATGTTACACAAATCTGCAATGTAGCAGGTTTAGCTACATAGTGTAAACCCGGCTTAAGGCCAAAATTATGAAAATCGGTCTTGTAGAATAGCTAACCCGACTCGGAAAAGAAAAACCAATTATTTTTATAGATGGCAATAATTGATTTACCGGTATGCATAATCTAACCATACGAAAAATGAGTTGATAATTTAACAGCTTATTGTTAGGTATATTGTTATTTAATTAAATTTTCTTTGATTAAATTAAATATTGTTGTTAACAATTTGCATTTGTGTTTAAAGTGTGTTTCTTATGTTAAGTGTGTGATTCTAATGTTATGAGCTTAATATGTACCAAATATTAGTGAGTAAAGTGGTGTATGGATTTCATAACCATTATTTTACTAGAGACCGCTGCATTAATTTAACCACAATGGGCTCTGTTGCTAGTCTATTAAATAAATAACATTAGGTTTAACGAAACGAGTACCAAGGTTTGCTGCTACAAGGAAACCAATTAAGTGTGTTTTTAGTAAAATATTAATTGTTTAGTATAAAATAAATAAATCTTGAAAGTTTTATCAAAATATATCCATAAACAAGGAAACTACAACTTTTTACCATATTCTCCATAAGAATAACATGGGGATTTTAAATTTCCAATTTTTTGAATTTTCCCCGTTACCAATAGTCGTACAAAACCCCTTTGATATACTTAACTATTTGTTTTTTAAGCTCTTTAAAAAGGTCTAGGGAGAAATTGGGAAATTTTACGTTTTAAGGGTCAAAAATGAAAAAAACAAATTTTAAAAGTATAAAATAACTTATAAATAAAAAACTTTTCAAATGCCACGTTTTTAAACGCACCTTTTTTCGCCCATAGTGCATCACCCTTAACAGTATATTTTAAATTCAACCATTATATTCTTTTCCAGCATGAAATGTTTTATAATTTGATACCAAACCAGATTTTTTAACAATAATTTAAAATTTTACACTTTTTTTAAATAGCGACCAAAAAACCGTATTTTGCGTAACAGTACAAATGTATATTTTTAGTATGTTTTTTAAAAGTGTATTACCTACCATTTCTAACTGGAATAATTTCTGTTGCAATTAGTTCCACCTCAAACCCTATTTCTACTGCACTATAATATGGATGAGGTAATATGTAATGAGCTTTGTTGCTACCTATTTTTTTAAATTATTGTTACATGCTATTAAGATTCACAGATGATCAGAATTTAATTGTTATTATGTTTGTTTAATTCAATGTTTCATTATGAAATGATTAAATTGAGTTTTATACAGTTCTTTGTTAATAATTGTATTTAATAATTGGCGACGAGGATGGTATTAATTATTTCTACCTTTCTATTTTACACTTATTACATTTACTAGTACAATTAATTGATTATACCCTCCTTACAAGGAAATGAAACATTGAGTGAACTGAGTCTTCATGAACGTTGTATCATTGACTATATATACCTACAGGTATATATAGTCAAATATATAGTCAATGGTTGTATCCTCAAGGGATGGAGGGTTATGATTCCGAAGTCTCTTGCTAAAATCGTTTTGAATGAATTACACTTTGAACACATGGGTGTAATGAAAACGAAAGCATTAGCCAAAAGTTTTTGTTATTGGAAAGGACAAAAGACAAAGATATCGAGGAGATGATTGCATCATGTAGAGTGTGTTGAGAAAAAGTTATTATGTTTGTTTAATTCAATGTTTACATTATAATTTGATTAAAAAATTGTAATTGAGTTTTATACAGTTCTTGTTAATAATTGTATTTAATAATTATTATTTACCAAACCGATATTTATTATACTGTACACACAAAATACGTACTGTATTTTCAATTTGGTTGATGAATTCTATTGGGCTATGTGGAAACCTAATATTGATACTTCTGTTTGTTGTATTATTATATATATATCACTGTAATCTAGTGATAAAGATGTAGCCTAATGGATTGGTACATTGCTTTGTACATAGGCTAATACGTTTTGTAATGTTGGTAGTCCTGCTGTCGGTTGCTGAATGTAATGATGTAATGTTTGTGTACTGTTGACTCGTTGACTGGTGTTGTGTCTCAAATATAATCCGTTTAAATCTTAAAGTGTTTTAATGTTCAACCACAGTTCACACGACTAAAAATGCAAGTGGTTATGGGCCCAGTATGCTAAAACTAAAAAAGTTATTTTTTGGAAGTTAAAGTCGTGAATAACCCCATAGTCAAAAAGTGAGGTTATGCAGTCACATTGCTTGAACTGAAGTGAGGTTGAGGTTATGCAGTTAAATTGCTTGACAGTGCGAGTAAGTTCGTTTTTGGAATTAAAATTGTGAAATTATATACTCACAATGGATCCAATGAAATGTATTGTTGATAAATTGGAAGGACAGCACAATTGGACTGATTGGAAATTTCAGATTAAAATTCAGTTACAAGTGAACAATGTCATGAGTGCAGTCGAAAATAAGTTCGAACTCCCGGAGAAACCTCCTGATACGGAAAGTGAAAAAGTTCATAAAGAATACGAGAAGACAGTGCTAGCCTTAAACAAAAGTGAGTTTGTAGCTCAAAACCTTATCGTAAGCTCAATAAGTAGCCAGGTGAGGCAGCTTATAAACATGTGCACCTCAGCGAAGGACATGTGGGACAAACTACACAGTGTGTTTGAACAACGGACAGAACAACGCCAGGATAGACTGTTTAATGAGTTTTTCGGTATAAAAATGAAGGACAGTAATGACAGTGTTGCTAAACACATATCAAAACTCGAAAAACTGTGGACGGAATTGCAAGATGAAACCTGGAAAGAAGACAAGGTAAAATTGCCTGAATCACTCTTTTTGAACAGAATACTCAATACTCTGCCTAATGATTACTTTGAGTTTTTAAACGCTTGGGAATCAATGCCTAAAGATCAGAGAAATTTAAAGAATCTCTGTGAGAGGCTGTGTATAGTGGAGAACAGGCTGCTCGAGAAGGATAAATGTGCAGAAGCGACAACAGCTCTTGCTGCCAAGACTAAGTTCAAAAGAAATTATGGATATAGGCCTAAGCCTAATGAAGTGGCTACTATGAATAGTAAACCCACGAATCAAAGCGGACCGAAATGTTTTGCCTGTGGCAAGTTTGGACATATTAAAAAGAACTGCTATTCTCTCAATAACAATAAAGTTGATAGGCCTACAAAAAGAAGTGACAGTAAGAATGTGGACAAAAATAAAAGTGAATCTTTGTTAACTGTCTTATCTGTAAGTTGTGATAAGAAAAATTGGGTTGTCGACTCTGGAGCGACTGCTCATATGACTCCCAGGAAAGAGAATTTTGTGGATCTTAAATTAGAGAAAAGTCTTAAAGTCACTGTGGCTAATAATCAAACAATTCAGTCACAAGGTGTCGGAGATGTGAAAATAACTACGGAGTATGGTGAAAAAGTTATTAAAGATGCTGTGTTTGTGCCTGATATAAAGACTAGCCTACTTTCGGTTAATAAAATGACAGAAAAAGGTCATACAGTAGTGTTTGATTCTGAGAAGTGTAAAGTGTACAACTCTGATCAAGAAATTGTTGTTACTGCAACTAAAAAGGATGACTTGTATATTTTGGATGAGAAATCAGAATATTCTCTCGTAACAGTGAAAAACTCCATAAATAGACAACTTTGGCACAGAAGATTGGGACATCTGAACCGCATTGGTATGGATCTTCTCAGTAAAGGAATGGCAAGTGGAATATCGCTTGACAATGTTTCATCTGAACCCTGTATCGCGTGTTTAGAAGGGAAACAAGCTAGACTACCTTTTAAAGGTAAAGGCGGTAAAAGAGTAAACGAACCATTACAACTAATTCATTCTGACCTCTGTGGACCGATGCCAGAAAAGTCTTGGGGTGGATCTAGATATTTTCTAACCTTCATTGATGATCATTCGAGGAAAGTTTTTGTCTATTTTCTAAAGGCAAAGAACGAAGTGTTTAATGTTTTTAAACAGTTTCAAGCCATGGTTGAAAATGAAACGGACAAGAAAATCAAAGTGCTTCGGACAGATAATGGTGGTGAATATGTATCAAACGACATGAAGAATCATCTGCAGAAACTAGGAATTAAGCACCAGTTGACAATTCCCTACACTCCAGAACAAAATGGACTTGCGGAGAGGACTAATAGGACTCTAGTAGAAAAGGCAAGGTGTATGATGAAAGAAGCTAATTGTGATGAACGCTTTTGGGCAGAAGCAGTAAATACAGCAGCATACCTAGCAAACAGGTCACCTCATAAAGCGATCAAAGAACAGAAGACTCCAGAAGAAGTTTGGTCAAAGAAGAAAGTCAGCGTAGAACATTTGAAAGTGTTTGGATGTGTTGCTTACACACATATACCTAAAGCTCAAAGGAAAAAGTGGGACTCAAAAAGTGTACCGTATATTTTTGTCGGTTATTGTGAAGAAAGTAAAGGCTACAGATTGATTGATCCAAATCAACCTGGAAATATTGTAAGAGCGAAAGATGTAATTTTCTTGGAGAATAAATTTTCAATTGACAAACTGGATAGCTCAAGAGATGAAAAAGACTCGGCTGTTGTTTCAATCCACGAGAATGAAGTCAGCGATAATGAAGACGACAATGTTATAGATGAAGAAAACCAGACTGACGGCGATGAAGAATCTTCCGAAGAAAATGAAGCAGAAGATCAAAATGACGCAGCAGACATTATCATTCCAGATGAAGCAGAAGACGATGAAAATATAGGCCTACGTCTAGGCCTAACTCCACGACGACAGAGAAAAATACCCGAAAGATTTTCTGATTACGTCTTGTTCCAGTCAAAACTTTCACATAGTGTTCCAACTACATATCGTGAGGCGATGGGAAGTGATGAAAAAGGACTTTGGCTGAAAGCGATGCAAAAGGAGATGGAAGCCCTGTCTAGCTACAACGTGTGGGATCTAGTGGATCTTCCGCAGAATCAGAAGATAGTGAAGTGCAAGTGGGTGTACAGTGTAAAAGGCAATGAGTGCGGTGAAGCAGTTAATCATAAAGCTCGGTTGGTTGCAAAAGGTTTTACGCAAGAATACGGTGTGGATTACAATGAAACATTCTCACCTGTTGTAAACAAAACCACACTAAGGGTATTGTTCGCTCTAGCTGGTAAGTTAGATCTATCAATTAATCACCTAGATATTAATACTGCATTTTTAAATGGAGAGTTAGAGGAAACTATTTACATGGAGCAACCAGAAGGTTTTGTAAATAAGAAATTTCCTAACAAAGTTTGTCTTTTAAAAAGAGCACTTTATGGTCTTAAACAATCCCCTAGGGTATGGCATAATAAAGTTGAGGAAGAGTTAAATGAACTTGGCTATAAGAAATCTAAGTATGACTCTTGTATGTTCACAAAAATCAAAAGTAACTCGTTCAATGTTGTGGCATTACATGTTGATGATTTTTTGGTGTTCTCTAATAATGATTCTGAAAAGTCTAAACTTAAGAAACATCTTATGTCAAAGTTTAGTGTAAAAGACTTAGGTGAAGCAAAATTTTGTCTCGGTTTGAATATTGAGAAATTTGATGGTAAAGTAAAAGTCTCTCAGAAAACTTTTATCCTTGATTTGTTAAAGCGATTCAATATGTTGGATGCAAATCCTGTAAGCACACCAATGGAATGTAATGTTAGGTTAGATCTGAGCAACAAAGAGAAGGAAAACCAATCAAAGCCCGATGTTCCATATCAATCCTTAATTGGCTCATTAATGCATTTGGCTGTAAATACTAGACCTGATATTGCTTATACTATTTCGTACTTGAGTCAATTTAATACTTGTTTTAATCTCTCTCATTGGAAAGCTGCAAAAAGAGTTCTGAGGTACTTGAAAGGTACAATTAACTATGGTTTAACTTATGATGACAGTGCAGACTTAAATGTCATAGGTTATGTAGATGCCGATTGGGCAAACAATGTACTAGATAGAAAGTCCTACAGCGGATTTGTTTTCAAAATGTGTAATGGACCAGTTTCTTGGGAAGCTAAGAAACAACCCTGTGTAACTTTAAGTAGTACTGAAGCAGAATATGTTGCAATTACACAAGCAGCTAAAGAATGTGTGTTTTTAAAAGGACTCTTAAAAGAACTTATTGATTATGATGAAGCAATTGTAGTGTATAATGACAACCAAAGCGCTCAAAGACTAGTGTACAATCCTGTTTTTCATAATCGAACAAAACACATTGATACTAAGTTTCATTTCATTAGGGAAACTGTTAAGTCAAACAAAGTAGTTTTGAAGTATCTGCCTACAGATAAAATGTTAGCAGATGTATTGACTAAAGGTCTTCCTAAAGCTAAACATGTATTTTGCACTAAAGGTATTGCTTTGATTTAATGTGAAGAAGCGTTGGTTGAGATATCACTAGATTAAGGGGGTATGTTGTATTATTATATATATATCACTGTAATCTAGTGATAAAGATGTAGCCTAATGGATTGGTACATTGCTTTGTACATAGGCTAATACGTTTTGTAATGTTGGTAGTCCTGCTGTCGGTTGCTGAATGTAATGATGTAATGTTTGTGTACTGTTGACTCGTTGACTGGTGTTGTGTCTCAAATATAATCCGTTTAAATCTTAAAGTGTTTTAATGTTCAACCACAGTTCACACGACTAAAAATGCAAGTCTGTTGAGTCAAATTAGAGAAGAGGTTTTACAATTTTGAAAGCTGCTAGGTGGTTCTGCTCATAACACACCTTTATTTTTTCTATTAATAAGTACTGAGTTTTTACAGTCTCTGTGGGTTTCAAGGTAGGATAATTTCATTAAAATCATATTGTGCCAACAAATAAAATTACAAATTAAATTAACTAAAATAAAATTACAGTTTAAAACGTCAAATTTATTTTGCTGCCTGGTAAGATCAAGATCTAGTGGGAGATACCAAATACTGTAGTGAATTCTGCACTGTGTTGTTTAACGTATTGGACACATAGGTCTGTTAACTTACGTCATGTAGAGGATACGCAGCAATATAAACTCCGTGAAGCAGCAGCCTGTTAATGCCAAACTCAAACACATCCGAATCTTCTTCGTGATGTTTAAAATACAAAGTCCTTTCCAAAATAAATTGAACAATTCTTGCCTTTTTAGCTGGTGTGAAGAATTCCGGAGAGTTTGCATTAAACCTAAAATTTAATAAAACAATTCAAATGGATGCATTAATTGATGATTTGTTCATTTACATCAAAGCAATGGGGCAACACAGCTACCGAAGCCCGAGCTGAGGTAGAGCGCACCCTTAAACACATATAACGGTTATTCAATGCACCTCTAACAATTTTATTAACACGTTCGCTGCGGGCCACTCACCGGTGAGTGCTCTAGTTCCTTTCTGCCACGCTAAACACTCACTGGTGAGTGCTGGCATCGCCTACATTCCATTCAACTTCTGAGCACCAGCACACCGGGAAGAACGGGTATTTTTATGTCTGCGTTTAGCTAGGGATGGGTACTTTATTATGGTGTAGGTTGGTAGTAAATTTCCCCGTAAAATCTCCTTCTATTAAGCTTAGAAATCAATTTGTTGTCCCGTTTTTTCTCTCTCCTATTGGCAATACAATTGGACCGGCTGGCTCCAGACAGTGCTGCTATCTGTGGGTGTTTCAGCAAACTACGTTGACTCTCTTTGTAACGCAAAACATCACCGCACGTCATTTACTATTCGTCAGACCAAAATATTTGAAAGCCAACCGGATCCTCTCGATGCTGCGCCACACCGGGGCTACGCCCGCCATTTGGTGGGCCACAGCGAACGTGTTAACGAATATGGGTGTTGTTCTAGGTAGGTAAAATACAAAATTTAATAATTAAATATAATGTTTAGTAACAAATTAGTTTCACACTGTACTTTTATGGAACACATATACATACTGTTAGTTAATACCTTCCATTTCATATTATTAATTAGAATTAGCGAATTCTGTATCCAAAGGGTCAATGGTGTTATTAATTCAATTTATTTTTTTTATTTTTCTTTGCATAAAACTGTACTTTGCGAAACATGATCTCAAACCACAAAAAAATTTTAAGAAATGCATATCCAAACCCCTTTTACCATTTCAAGTCAAATTATGCACAACTGAAAAATAATTTTTGAAATGTTAATTTACACAACACTCTGAGAGTCCTATTAAGGTAAATATTTTCTAAATAAAGTGGTACAATTCAATAATATAACAATAACATTTAACTATGACTTGTTTTAGTGTCGTAAACTTACAGAAATTCTTTTGAACGAGAGTACGGGGCTGTTAGTTCCGGAGTGTTGTCAGGAAATACGTAAGGATCTGTCTCAAACCATCGACTTAGGGGGAATCTCTGCTTCCATGCAGAACTTACAGACATACGAGTCCAACTTGCTGTTTCCAGGGCTGTTTTGTACAACTGAAATACATATACAACCAACGATGAGAGAGGAATGGAGAAATTTGTTTGGTATTCAATATTATGTACTTTTTACTCATCTAAAAGTACAATAAAAAAAATTAATTTGAAAATGGATTATGTTCTATTATTTTTCTCAGGGTAGTTTTATGCAAATGTTTGTTTCTAATGTTAATAACAGTATTTGTGATTTTATAAAACTCCAAAGTCACATGATGTTCACATTAAACCAACTTTCCCAAAACATTTACTTAAACAAAATCTCCTTATCATTGCCTATTTTTTTTCTCATGGGCTACAAGAGCATATACTGATTTTTTTGGCACTATGTTTGGATTTTAATCACTTTATAGACTAAGTACCTGGGGACCGAGCTTTGCTCGGGGAAAATCATTAGTTTACTCTGAAAGCAGTCTTAGTATTGAAGATACATAAATCAATTCCCAAACTCCACAGTGCTCGCCTTTACTACTTCCATCACCACTCCCAACGTCGTGGACCTGTTTCCCCCTTCCCATTGCATCTTAGAATTGCAGATACATAATTGTAATTTAGGCATCAGACGGCATAATGAAGCGCCCCGACGCATTTAGTGCAAGCAACACTCGGGACCTATCTAATAGGACAGGCAGAACCCGCCATCATAGCCAGAAGGAAGGGGACCGTCAGTATTTCAGGATTGGAAATACCTTAATCTAATCGTCACAAACAGTTCCCACACTCCGGACAGCTCGCCTTGACTACTTCCTTCACCACTTCCTACGTCGTGGACCTGTTTTCCTCCCTTCCCATAGCATTTTAGGATTGCAGATACCTTAACCTAATCGCCGTAAACAGTTCCCACACTCCGGACTACTCGCATTGACTACTACCTTCACGACTTCCTAAGTCGCGGACCTGTTTTCCTCCCTTCCCATAGCTTTTTAAGATTGAAAATACCTTAATCTAATCGTCATAAACAGTTCCCACACTCCGGACAGCTCGCCCTGCCTACTTCCTTCACCACTTCCTACGTCGCGGACCTGTTTCCCTCCCTTCCTATAGCATTTTAGGATTGCAGATACTCTAATCTAATCAAAATAAATTTAGCACAAATCTGCTACCCAATAAATATAAAAGGAGGTGTATCCTCTCATTAATTTAACTACCGTACTCGACATTGACAGAAATTGGTTTTTCAGTTGTAGTATAATATGCTCAATGGTATAATCTGATTGTTCATTTCTTTTGCTCTGTTATTATACACATATTGTTATTTCCTTTTGGTCTGTGTAAACATATGCTACATATCCTCGGAAAGTGCTTCAAGAGCTTTCGGCGCATGCGCAAGCTGAGGTGCCCGTGGGTACAGAACGTCACATTATGTCTTAAAATGTAAACAAAATGACAATAATGGCAGAATGTTTTCTCATAAGGCCCATGTTAAATTTTCAAAAGTTTGTACTCATATTATGGCGAAAATAGATTTTTCCTGGCTATACCACTGGTCTAGAACTTATTTTTGACACAGAACTTAGTTATTCCGTAAATATAAACGTTTTTGTTAGGGCCGATTCCCAGATCGAGTTGACAAGTATTCAAACTTTACTCGTATTATATATAGTATACATAAACTAAGTTTTATCATACTCTGCAGCAAAAATGTATTATCTCAATGCAAGTGTTGCGGAGCTGAAGAGCTTTTACTCTATGGTGCAAAAAAGAATCAGCTGGAGTAGAGGTCATAAATTTGGAAGCTATTAATTTTTATGACTTTAAAATTTGTCTTCTGGTTTTGACCTCAACTGATAAAAATATTGTTGAATCGTTATCAAAACGTTGTTGAGTTTATGGTTGTGTCTTGTATGTTACACAACAATAGTAGCCTATCGATATTTACCCTTTGTTTAGACCAATCTAACATATTCTAATCTATTTTTGTGTTGGCAAAGACTTAGAAACACTAGCATACATAGAGGTCAATATGTATGCTACTAATATGTATGCTAATAATGTATAATATGTATGCTAATGTAATGCTAATATGTATGCTATATTTCCTACTTCTAGTTTGCAAAGTAAAAAACTAACTATTTGGCAAGGGGAAATCAGCTGATTGTGTTTCTCTTTCAACTGCCCTATAATTGAAAATGGATACTTTTAATACACAGCACGGAATTGACGATTTTTGAAAGATCAGCTGTTTAAAAATAAACTATCTTTGTACACAGTGTTGGTGTATCTTTGCTTTGTTGGTGTGGCCAAATATCACCTTAGATATACGTGGCCATGGGAGTAAGTAAGTGCACAGAGTTATGAAAGATAGATCTATAGGGATATTAAAGAATGGGCAACTCTGTAAAACAGATTTATAAATATACTCACATTTTTTACAGGCATTTGCAGCTTAAGAACTTCTGCGTAGCGCTTCAGAATATCAAGCGGGGCATGAATCTTGACAAAATGTAATCCAGCCTCTTGATTAATTTCTTGTTCCAGCTCCAAACCCTCGGCTCTCAAATTGTTCTCAAACATCTGCGAATAGAAAGCACCCTAATTATACCACGAATAGTCTGGTTGCTTTTGCCCTCAAATCGGTCAAGAACAAAATCAATTAATTAAAAGGTAAAATTTTGGGCCCAGTCATTTATCAAATGATTATTAGCTTTAAATTTTACAAAGAATTTGTTGATGTTAGGAATTTAAAAACATAACATTTCATTTACAGTGACATTTTTACATACCATTTACATAACATTTTTCTAACAGTGAAATTTCTCTTAAATAGTCTATGGAGTTAAATTTTAGTAACATATGGTAGACTGCATTTATTAGGCCTATGTAAATATTATCATTGAAATTAAGCTTGAGTAATCTGAAGTTTAATAAAATAGTGTTTTCACTGTTTTCCCATCGACCCGATTAAGCCTTTGAAACCAAATGGGACTGTTTTCCTAGTGATGCGGTGTGTGACCAAATGCCAACTGCGCAGCATGCAATAATGATTGGAGCACTGCCTTGAGAGCAGTCATGTGGGAAGTGTGAAACTCCTGACAAAGAAAGCTTAAAACTAACTACCTACCACCACCCTTAAGGCTTGGTTTCTTTGAATCACGCAGCATCACTGCGGGATGCGGGATGCGCGATGACGTAATCACGCAAAAGTCTGTCGCAGCTATTGCTACGGGGGTGTTTTCTCTGACTTCACGTGCGCAATTCTCTGTGATTGCCGCCAATTTAGTAATGCGTGATCCCTTTGCACGACGCACTGAAGTCTGGGATCCCAGACTTTTTGCGTGGCACGCAGTAGTCATTCCCATCTGTTCATCGGTTGGTGACTGATAATTGTGTTGTTAATGAAACTGCAACTATAAAATCCAAGGTTTTTACTGCCAAGTTATATGAAAAGCTTCCAGTACTATACTGTTTCACCCAAAATAACTACAAGAACAATGGAATCAAGAATAATTATTGACAGTTAATCGTGTCAAGCACAACATTTGTAAACGGTGAAACAGGTTTTTTTAGCGAATTTCCCATATAGGGAATAAGCTATTACCGTAGTACTCATAGGCTACTCATACTCAAAACAACTGTTTTGAAAGCATAAAAATTCCCTAAACTTAGTTTCATTGTTCAATTAAATACCTGGTAATCAGAATTCTAAAACACCCTTCTTCTCCATGCCAAAGAGTCCTCATTTACTAAATTCACTAGTAATTTTTCTTCATTATCCTCTTCCTCCAGCAGCAAAGCTACAGCAACGAGTCTGCTCTGATGACATCCATGTTGTCCATGGCTGAAGATATAATCACGCGCTGCAAGGATGGAGTCATAGAAAACACCCTTATTTTTTATCAAGCACGCTTGATTACCGCGTATCACAAATCACGGATCACGCAATAACGCAGCGTGGTTCAGAGAAACCAAGGCTTTAGAGATTGCAACTCTACACAAAAAAACCATCATATGCAGGAGCAAAGTTTTTTAGAACTTTACCTAAAGAAATAAAGAAAGAAAAAAATGTTAATAAATTTAAAATTAAGTTAAAAAATTATATTACATCAAATCCTATTTATTCAATTGAGGAGTATAACAAGTTGTAAATATGTATTATAAGTTATAAGCTCTGTTAGCTATAAGGAAATGACACTATTCCGTTGTATGATTACTCATGTACACATTATGAATAAAGATTGATTTGATTTGACCCTAATATATGTAACGTTGCTAGTAATGTTTAGAACAAGGGGAATCGGACTGATCACCCGATAGTAATTATTGCTGTTTGGAGGGACGCCTTCAACTGCCCCAATACACCATTACTAGTAGGTCTTGCAATTGCCGCCTCTCCACTGAAGGAGCAAGAGAAATTCCATCTTTAGCCAAGGGAGCTACACGTGCCGACCATCAGTAGCCCTCAGGTTTGTGCATGAGTACTGATAAGCCCAGCTGATGGATAAGGAAAACTGTGCATTTATGGTGTGGAAGCCGACCTGACTGATTGTGGATATCCAGGACAACACCCTCTTCTCTTCAGGAATATTTTATTGAGGATATTATTTCAAGAGGTAATGCAGATATTTTATATGTAAATTTTATGTTTCAAAATCAATGTATAAGTAGTTTATGTTGCCTTGAATGATTAATATTGTTGGAATTATAAAATTCTAACATTGACTTTTCATGCATAGACAATCTCAAAAAGCACATGTTTCTAAAAATTTAAAAATCTAATTTTCTAAAAATAGGTAAAATAATATTTTATTAGGAATTCTTGCTGAAAATCAGAGTAAAATAAACGTTTTGGGTGTTAATTTAATATCAAGCATAACTTGAAATTTAAAGCAAACTATTGTTGTACATAGAATTTTGTGAATATTGAGTAAAGTAAATTACAATCATTGTTGGGCTGTAAATGTTAAAATATTAAAAAGCCAGTAGTATTTTATTAAATTAATTACTTGGTTTTGCTGAAAACTGTTATATTTGGATTAATCAACATTTTATGTAGCTACCTTGTCTAGGTCAAACTTATTTAATTGTACATATTTTATGTTCCATATTGTCAATTTTAACTGGGTCAAAAATCATAATTAGTGTTCTCATTGTTTGATGTATAATTTAATATGTAATAGTTTCTTGAGGTTAAAATAATTATTGCATGATTTCAATGCATCATAGTAGGTGGGATACAATGATTAAATCATACTGTTTAAGCTTTTGGGCAGTTACAATTGTAGCATATTATTTGGAATACAGATCAAACAGATTATTCTGCAGATAATATCCAGGACCTGGCATTATCACAAGAATTTGTCTACAAAGTTGCATATTTTTATCTATTATCTTTGAACTAGGGTGATTATCTTTGGTGGAAATATTTGGTAATATTTAAATATTTGTATTTATGTAGGATTGTTATTTGTAATACACACTGTGACAAATTAGTTGAATTATTTATTTAAACAGGGAACAACTATTGCATTTATTTAATGTGTTACAACACAACTCATTTTATATTCAAATCTGGTTACAAGAGCATGAGCATAATTCATTACTATGACATTCAAAAGTTATGTTTTGGCTTAAAAGTGTGGCACTGGAACTTGTTTGGTTAAATATATATATATATTATGTTTATGGTGAGATCATGTACTATTCAGTAAGGAATTTTGTAGGGTTTTTGGCTACTGCTGCTGGGATTTGATCCAACGGCCTGGACACTCTGGTCACTGCTTCGTACTCTACCGCACTTGGTCTACCCACTGCTATTTTTCTGGACCTTTGGACCTGGACTGCCTGACTGATGGTCAATCACCACTGATGCTGTGGACCTACCTACTTTAGACCGAGCCCGAGATCATCTGTCTTCAACCGATAAGTCAGACATCTTATTCTTTAGTCCAAAATATCTTACCATCTGATCTCACAGCTTATCCCGGAATAATCAAATAAACACTTGGCTAGCCAGACATTGTGGACACTTGGTGCCTTAGTGCCCCACCTCTAGGTGTGTGTGAGACTATTAAGTGCCACTGGAAATATTTGAGTGCCTGGATGTCGACACGCCTCATCGGAGAATATTTATTATAATTTATTTAGCCTTGTTAGATTTAAGTATTGTGCATGTTCTTGTTTGATGATATGTTTATGGTTATGTGTATGTATTTATGAATTTATATGTATTTAAAATGACTTTTCAGCACGGTGGCCACCTGCAGTTGCACTCAATTGATTAATTAATTTTATATTGTAGTATTATTTGCTGAATATCTTGCTTTTGGTGAAACATATACTAAAGTTTATCTTGAGCAGACATTATCAGATTTATTTATGTAAATTTTGGAAATACTTTATTATTTCATATTTTGTGGCTCAAGTGACATTGAGGGTTGAATATATAAATTGGAGCCGCATTGAAATTATATATTTTGCATGTAACAATCTGATAGCTGAATAAATATTGTGTCTGCTAACTGGTTATCATCTATTTGCCTGTCTGGACACAAAGTAATTAGTAATTAGTGTGAATTTACAAAACAATTGAAATCAAGTCTTTTGAATTTTAATCAATTATTTTGGTATATTTTGAGTGTACATAATTTATTCACTGTATAGTTATAAGATTGCATGAACAGTCAAACTTTCTTTATCTCAAAAGTAATTATCTGCATTATTATCTTGTTATCTGATGAACTGACCCAACTGGATGGATTCCCCATTGCCATCACATGAACTCAAGGGTATGATTAATGGGGTGGCGCCCTTTTAAAACCAACTCAACAGATAAGCATAGAATTTTGGGTAGCTTTAATATTCCTCAAGGCAAACTTTGGCGAATTAAGATTCAGACCCCGCCCTACTCCACTGACTTGGCCGGAGCACATGGCAAATGACGCCCTGAACGTGGGGCCTTGAAGGAAGTTTGAAGTAATCGGTGTACCTGATTAATCAATTTTGATTAGACTTACATGAACTTTAGCTCATCACTGTTGAACTTTGTAGCTACTATCAATATGTCTCCGTACAACTTGAGGAAGGTTGAGGTTGCTTACGAGCTGAAGATTCGAGGAATTTCATCTGATGGTTCTGCTAATGAGTTACGCAAGAAATTATCGAAGGCTTTGGCTATTAATACGCAAGTTGATGAGACTTTAGTTAGTTCTTTGAATTCCAAGGAGGAACTCAAGTGTTGTAAAGATATTTTTGATGATATAGCTCGACTTATTTCTGAATATGAAGGTGATTACAAGGATGGTGAATACCAGCGGATATCTACTAGACTTTGGCATTTGTACCCCCGCATAGGCCGTATCCCATTAGTTGCTGCTGCAGATGGTGAAGATACAGTTGAAGATGCCAGGACGGAATTATTAGACTCTACTAAGAAATTGATGGATTCATTCCTAATTGAAACTAAAGACAAATCCACTAAGGAGATACCAGCTTCAGAGCAGACTCTTGTGGTCAAGGCTCCCAATAGAGTAAGTGAAGCGAATCCACCAGGCGCTTCATACCAGAATCTACCAGGC